GTTCATTGGGCATTTTCCTTATAAAGACATTCCTCCAGCGCTTGATTTCTATTACCCAACCATAAACAGGGATCACATTTCTGTACTAGCTTATCTAGCTCAGCTATTACTTTACTTACCTTTGCACCAAAAATCCTCTCCATTTTAATAAGTCCTGCGTGAAACTACCTATTACGTACCTTAATAATTTTATTCCTAATAAATTTCTCTTCCAGAGCTAATCAATGTAGAGAGAAGTCATCTACTATGTTATACTTTCTGGGTACATAGTGGAGCGACCCATTATGATTGTTATATATACGCTGGCCTCTGTTAACTCTCGTCCTTCGCACAATATCGCTCTCACACGTTATTAAATAACTTTAGAGGGCTCTTGTGATCACTTCCACGTTCAGTCTCTAGCTACTTAATTTGATATAATCCACAAGCCTAAATGAGCACCACGCCACGGCTATTGTTTCCCTATCTGTGATACTATACTTTCTCTGAGCATCTTTAGATTTCGCACTTACTAAATACTACGGTATGTTCTCGACCTCCTTGATAATGAAGAAGCAGCATGCCTCCCATACCTATATTGCTAGCGTCCGTCTGTAAAATAAACGGGGATTTTTGGTAAAGAAAAGCTACACATATACTATTTTAATTAACACTTATAATCATGTTGCATTCCTTCCCCCGACTTTTAGCTTATTGCATACCACTTACTGGCGATAAAGTAATGGCTCTTAAAGGTATATGCAATCTCAAATAGTTTAAGGTCTGCAAAAGACTAAATAGCTTCATTTTAGTTTTAGGTTTCCTCAGAATAAGGAAGTCTCGCACGCAAACTGTGGACATTTTCACACCACGGCCGGTCAACTCTCTACCTAGTCACTTTCGAGCTTTCAGCAAACCTGCATTTTCTTAATCTTACCCCTTCAATGTAATATTCGTATCTTTCCCCAAAGTTTACTAAATTTCGTCTCAGTTACTCACCGAGAAGTCAACAACAAAAACCTTACTTTTTAAGCTCGCTGTAATAATATCACGGACCTTTTATATTTAAAAGGTGCGTTTACGTAACCAGAAGGAAGCACCGGCCATTGAACCATCTTGCCGTTCGGCATAGTGAACGCAAATTATTTTCTTAAGTAGCTATGTGTAGCTCTCTGGTTAAACCCTTTGCATCATCTCCAGTAAAAATTTTATCGCTTCTCACCTTTGGGTTGATAAAACGCTCTTTTATCACGCCATATCTTTTTACATACGCTTATTCAAACCTTGTAGCGGGTCATAGACCCTCATATACTTTTCTCGCCCGCGCTCTAATTCTTGTAGGTTAGCATATTTGTAATAGGGTTTTTCAACAACATGGCCATGAGGGTTTACTCGCAATCGTTAAAAAGCTCCCACAAACCAAAACCAGCAAATTATCCCCCTTCTGATAATCTCTTTTCTTTATAAAAGACCCTTGGTCTCATACTTACACCATACTAGAGAAGCATCCTTTTTGAACGTAACTTTAAGTGGTTCTAACCTCAAAATGCTTTTTTCCTGACTTTCATCTTAAGTTATAAATCCTTATAGCTAAACATCTTAACATTGATTTCATTACTTTCCTGGACGATAGCCGCTGTAATTCCTGTTTAATATCTTTCACAGTAACATTGTCTTTCTCTCTAACCAATTCATTCTCATCCTCAAGTATGCATTCTCCGGTAATTTTTTTAAAAATAACTAAATAATAAAAATAGTTATACTAATTCTGCGATAACTAATAATAAAAATAGTAGAACAATTCCGCAAAAACAGGCAAGAGCCACTAATGATACTAGTAGTTTATCTTAAGTCGGTCGATAAAAGTCGGGGTTGGTCATCGTCTTTTAAGAGAATGCACCCGGCGAACAGTAGGTACAGACCATAAACCTCTAGTAATTATTATAAACCGACAGTGGCGAAAAATGTCCGTCATATTTCCTGACACTTCCCGAAGCAAAGAAGCTCCTGGAAAAATTCAAGATGTTAGAAGAAACCCGCCACACCACTTCTCAGTAGAAAAGCAGAATATCAAACATCTATGGAAGGACTTCATCTTCCACCGGATTCAGTGGCGTCAATTCAGAAGTTTCCCTGGGGCCTAGAGAAAAAGCGAGCAGCACTTGGGTGAAAAAAAAAAGGGTCACTCCTACTATTATACCAGGATCTGCTGAAAATTCGGTTTCTACAACGTTATGAGAAGGTAATCTCTACCTATCATTAATAATGAAGACAGTTTTGCCTCTAGGCACAGGAAGGGCCGTCTAGAGGTCAATACAAGGGGTAATGTTCAACAAAGAGACGGTATGGGGTATGAGCCCCTATCCACTTGTAAATCTAAATCTCCCGTTGTTGGCTAATAACAACTCTAAAGAGGCTAGAGATAAAGATGTTAAGCGGAAAAAAATTAATATTTCTTTTCAAAAACTTACCTATCGATGTTTTTGATAAAAAGTAGAGAATCTAAATTTCCATAACTTAACCCCTACGGGGACTTATCCGCCAAATATTGAAAGGTTAACGGTCTCGGCCCTAATTGTTATCTAAATCCGAAATTTTCTTATCATAACTAATTGAATTTATCTCAATTTACTTGACCTCTTCAGACAAATTAGACTAAAATTCAAAGTTGGAGGCAAAAATAGTCTGGTTAAAGGATTTAAAAGTGTATGTACATGATAAGAATTCACAAGCCCCCTAATTAAATTATGAAGCTAATTGACTTTTTGAACGTAGAAATGATAAATATATTCTAAAGAAAAAGAGGTCCTTTAAAAGTAATTTCTCACCAGCTATAATCAAAGTTGTTAAAAAGACCAGCCTTCAGTTTTATGGTGCATATGAGATCGCGCGGGGCCTTTAACATTAGCTAACTGAAAGCCCAAATCCTGAAGATCCACTTCGCCAAGCAGTAAGTTGCACCTCTTGAAAGTCTTTGCCTCACTGCGTAGATCCTTTACCGCTTTATTATGTTATTTAACCTACGCTACCCACGAGTTACACCCATACACTCGTGCCTTTCGACTCAAAAAAATAAGTAAAACCCTTCATTTATTAGGCTTAGGTATGTTTCGTTTAATCACCTAATTTAAACTAACGTAGCTTTCACCCGGGTCTGTATCTAAATTGGTTTTATAATCGTATCCTTTAAGTTGACCATAAACTAAACTACTAGTTTCTTTGCAGCTATCTCTCCACACCCCCTACCTATCGTAAAAGTTATAGTAACATCTTACCTGTTTTTATGTCCAGTTAGCAGAAGTCCGCTTGCCTTGCCAGCTTTTTCAAAAAGCATTCGATAATTCTTACAGAAGAGCTGACAAGGATTCCTTTGTAACGTCCTTCTCTAATAACAGAAAACATATCGTTATTAAACTTTCTTACCAAATTATGGTCATTTCTTTTTTAGCGAAACCCTTCCACCCTTTCTAGGTACCGCTCTATTAGACTCAAAGCTTGCCCCAACTCGACTTTGCCTTTACTCAGTACCTAGATTCAAAAAATGCCCGAGCAGCTTTATAGAATGAAATAATTGTTATTTTAGTGAACTGGCACTACTACTATAGTAACCGAAGTATAAAAAAGATTATCCAGTACGAAAACTATATATTGTAATTTACCAATTTCTCTAGCCCGGCGACGTGCCCTCCGCAAGAAGAGGCCCGCCCCACAACCAGGCGAGAGAAGAAAAAGATCTCTCGGGTCACGCACAGGCTAGCTTATATACAATAACTTTACAACTTAGCACTCACTAAGATATGTGCACTTGCTATTAGAATTTACGAAGGCAAGGTGAAATACGGGACCATCAAAGACCGAAGAAGAGAGTAGCGTCGGTTTAACTCGAACTCGCAGCTTTGAGTATGCGCGTCAATGCTCTCAACAGCTGAGCTACGAATTACAACTCTCGATCCCAGTATGATGGTTTTACATATCTAACCTCTTACTTACTAACTACCTTATCCCTCATCTGTCTGTGACTGTAATTTATAAGCCTAACAGCCAACCACTCACGCTGTTCGATTTTGACGCCCTTTCAGTGCATGACTTGCCGGCTCCGCTATGCAGAGATGTTAACTGTAAGTATCCTGCGTGGAACAGTCGTGTTGCAAATCGGAACGGCTACATCTTTGAGACTAACACTGAGGAACGCACGGGTTGAGATTCCTTGGGACACAGTTGCCAACACACATGGTGAGGAAGGCGAGCACAATGGGCGTGCTGGAGATCGCCTTTAAATAATTATACGCTTTTAACAGATATTGAGGCGTTAAATAAATTATCAGGCTATTTGACAATACTGCTCGGGTTGGGCGATGATTGAGGAGCAACAAAGACATTCTCCCGCTCTTATACGGAATAAAACAAATCCACCAAATTGCTTGAAGAGGCGCTCCTACGGCTTAAGACACCACCCGAAACTCCTGCTGAGCTAAACGGTAGTGTCGTCGATTTTTGAGCGCGCGGTGAAAGAAGCTCACAGCGAAACTACGAAACGACACGTGCAGTTGTGTACCACCCCAAACGCTTTCCTGAGAAACTAACGGGATTAATATGGGTGGGTCGGTGAGTCATCCGAGTAGTAGTCTTGGTCTTTCGACTCGTAAAAGGTATACTACTGCTAAGGCTCTTCACCGCCACATCAAGAGAAATCTGATGGCGCATACAGCTGCCAATAAATAACATGTTAAATGAAGTTTTAAGAGGGAGACACCTACCTACACTTTAATTTCAACGCGACTTGCTAACTAATGTCGTCAAGGGGGTCTCTCCATTAACGCAGCAAAGAGCAAGGCTCTTCCTATAACGAGGAAACGCCATGCGTTCCGATACCGTTTACTCGACGTCAAAGAATTGAATTTCTATGCGTTCTGGTGCGAAGGTTAAGGAAGCGACCAGAGTACTATATTTTTTATTATGCAGCAAAAGTAAACTTTCGTTGCGCAATGAGCGAAAGCTTTATTAAGTGTGCATCCGGCCTTTTATGACATATGCATCTCCTGCCTGGCCCTTTGACTTATCGGCAAGAACGTACTAGCTTCAAGTGCGATAAAACAAACTGCTGCGCCTTTTACAAACGCGACTTGGTTTGTGCGCAATAGTACACCGCCATGAGCTACAGGCTTGAGCTGCTGACCACAATCTTTAAAAACAATCCGGCGCCTGCGAATGGGTAGCTGGACGCGCTAATCGTTTAGGAGAAAGAAATCACTTACAAGTTGTGGGACAGCGCACAAACCTCGTTCGCCCGACGCGCTTTTAGCATGACTATTGAAGCTAAGTTGGGGGGTTAACTCAAACTTAAAAAATGTATTTACCATAATAATTTTACTTGTACTCTAAAAACCTGTTTGAGAGCTCGGGTATTCGAATAATTGTTAACTTTATGGAGCATCAGGAAAAAACGTCATTTATAAATAGATAGTGTGCACAAAAAAATACCCTGGTGGGCTAAGCGAAAAAAAAAAGTGAGTTGTTTTATTAGAATGCATTTTGTTGTTATTATAGTACTCTTAAAATACTGTCTCACTCGTGCTTAAGCATTAAAATAAATGTTAAGGCTCATTACCTTTATGTATGATTTCCACTTATTAGCGTTGATAGCAAGAGAATGTTCTTATATAGTAGTTTTAATTTATCAGCAAAAGGTTTTTGATAAGGCTTGATACGTGAGCGCCTTTAGCAGCTTGTGAGGTTGTTCCCTTTGTTATTAAAATATTTCAACTCAATCGAAAGTTTTTACTGGAATTGGAGAGGCCTGTTAAGATTTATGGGAATTTAAATTTAGCGTGACGCAAGGGCCCTTATTCTCACTAACCCACAAACTTTTTTACATCAAAGCTTAGCTAACATAACAGTCTTCAGCATTTCCTAATCAGGCCCATTAGTTGGTTAAAAAATGCAAGTAACACAATTTTGCTCAATGGCACCTTACTCTTAACCCTCTTAAGGACTCAAGAATAATTATTTTTGAAAGATATCGAGAAGTAACTGATTGGAGGATCGTCATAGAAGCGATAACTTTTCGCGCACCATATTAAATATTTTATGAAAATCGAACTACTCTCACAACTCACTTGTCAGACAATACATTTTAAAAACAAACTAACTTGGGCTCTAGCTCACAACTAATAGGTCAAGGATGAGTTATGTGAGCGTATTACGTCCTGGGCACTGTTTGACCGCTATACGCTCTACAAATTTCATACTAAATAACATTTTTAATGCATCATAGTTTCTTTGGGCATTACACTACTTTATTATAAACGAATTACTAATAATTAGTTATAGGAACTTAAAATTCGTTTTAACTCAAGGTTACTTATAACTCAAATTTAAAATTGAACTTTAGGTATTTGGAATCACCCATTTTTACTTCTATAACCATAAATATTTTACCCTTCTAAATTTATAAATATATTTAATGTCTCTCAAAAATTACTTTAAATATTTTATTAATATTTTTTTTGTATCTACTGTAATTACTCTCATGACTGTCTTGAAGGGACCTAAGTTTTTGGCACAATTTATTTTATTTAAAAACGTAACGACAACTCTAGTCGTAAAACTAACTATTAAGCGCCTCTGGATGGAATTTAGGCAAAAATTCTAGTCATTTTGGGTTACCATTTTTAAGTAAAATTGAATTTTGAAGTATGAAATTTCTTAAAAATAATAACGTTCGGACGCTACTACCAGAGTTTTAGCTTCACTGTATATTAGTTGTTAACTAAAATATAAATATTACTTAGTCTAGCAATTTTTTCAGACTTACTTTTACACTAAAAGAGTTTTAATAGAGTGTGCAAGCAAAAAAATCAATATTTAGAAGTAACATTTAGATCTAAGTTTGCTTTGAGAATGGAAGGATGTAAAGTTGCTGGCTTCGTTTACTTTCTTCGATACCTTCGTCGCAAGTTCCTTTGCAAATGACATTTCCAAAGCATCCTTTTGGCCCTGAAACTTGTTGGTAATAGCAATAGCCTATGAACACTAACTTCTGAAGTAACCACTGAAGGTATATTAAGCAATACTCAAAGGTTTATAATATACTTACTAATAAGAATATATAAAGCTACCAGCTTACAATTCCCGAAAGCTTATAAAAGCGGGAACAGGCAAAAGCACGAAAGCCTTTCCTTTGTCTCTCTCTCCACTCTAAACGTTAACAAAACATTCGATAGCAACAACAACTCCTCTTTTCAAGTGCAAACCAAAAAAAACTACAGCGCCTTCCAACGAACGTGCCGTACTTTGTGCGTCGTCACACAAAAAAACAGTTTTTAAAAGGCTGTGCAGCTGGCTTGCGTGCATAATACCGCCGTCTCTTTTGAAGTAATCTTACGGAATAAATGGATTATAAATTTGAGGAGGATATGAATAATATTAAAAAAAAATTGAGGCAGTTAGAAAAAACGCCAGTTTTAAATGTGTTGCAGTTCTTTGTGTGTAGAACGGTATAAACAATATAAATCCATAATTCTCGTAAAAGGAATAATAAATTTAAAGTGTTAATATGATGAAAAACGCTAATTGTAAAAAACAATGAGGTCTTTGTTAGGGCTATTTCGAGTTTTAAATTAAAAAGTGCCTTCAAACATTTTAAAGCACGCAGTAGTAACTACCAAAAAAAAACTTTTCAACTTCTCCTTATTTCAATTTATATATTAATAAAGTATTCGACAAAAATTAGCCTTTTCACTAAATATTTAATTTAACGGTAATGACCGACGTCACAGGAGAACCTAAAAATAATAGATTAGTTTTTATCTATTGTTTAAAAGTATAATCTTTTACTATAAAATATTAGTGTTGCAAATCTATATAACCCCTTTTATAAACGATACCTCTACACTGCTAAACTAAAGAATTTCCAGTTTAAGTTACTAAGCAAAAAAATAATTTAATTTAAAAATAATATAATATTCTTTACTATATCCAACTTTTCTTCTATATAAACACTAAACTGCTATTACCAACTTTGTTTAGCAGGATTAAAATTTTTTTAACTACAATGGCTAAAGCCTTTTAAAAAATCTTAACTTTTCAGAAAATAAACATTTAGAAGCAAAAAATGTTTTACAAATTTTTTAAATTATATTTTTACTTAAAAAAATTATTAAACAATTAATTTTTAGTTGCAGTTAAAAATATTTATTCAACAATTTATTTTCTGTGCAAAATTTCTTGCTAACAATTTTTTAATTATAAAAATACGATAATGGTCAACTTTACATGTTTTTCTAGATTCTTGCTTACGAAAGCATTTGTTATAACAGTTATACTTTAACTTTGCCAATAATTATATTTTTTTTATATACAATTTAAAACGCACAATGATCCAATCCGAAAATTTCACGGGGGAAATTATTAAAATAAGAATGCCTTAGAGCTTGGCTAGCAGTAATTCTCTTCTCGGGATTGTACTCGAGCATACAAGAAATTAGCTCTAAACCTTAAATTTTAAAGTTAAAAAAAAATTCCAAGGTAATTATCTTTTTAAATTTTTTATAGTTATATTAGTTATTGATCACAAAAAAATAATTTGAAAAGTTATAATATAAGGTCCATACCGCATGCATCCAGTCTGGGAAAGTGCTCCAAGGAAAGCTATAAACAATTTTATTTAGTTAATTAGCTTAAACAATAGCACTATATAAAACTTTTCTATCCACATATTTCTGTGAAGTAAAATATATATTAAATTTTTCTCTTAAAAGTATTTTAGAATTTCTAAGTTGCGAGGGGGGTATTCCTATTAAAAATAAATAAGTAATTGGTTAAATAATATTTGTAAATTTTACAGATAAAAAGAGTAAAGAATACTCAAAAACTAACCTAAAAGTTTTATTATTTTTATTATTTGATCTTCTTTTTCCTTTCCCGGGAAAAGTGGACTAAGTAATAGAAATAAATTAATAGTTTTTAATAAAGATTATAAAAAGCAATAAAGAACTTTGTAGATAATGAATCTTACAAAAATTAGATTAATATTTATTTGGGGAGGAACCTTCTTTGGAGAAGCTCAGCAAAAATGCACCCTGCAGACCACATATCAATGGAAGTGTCGTACTTAACCGACCCGAGCAGGACATCCGGCGGCCTTAACAAAAAATTTTAAGATTTTATGAATGCAAGCAAAGCGGCGTTGACTTTGCAATATTTTTTAAAGTGCCTATATTGTATTATGAGCTTTGAGATTTCTACTTTTTGAGGTAAAAAAGCTTGCAAATGCAAGTAAAGCAAATTGTTACTAGCTGTTATTTAAATGTCTATTTATACATATTTTACGAAATATAAATATTATTTTAAGCAATAAAGTGGGTAGCAACAAAATTATTTTTTAATATAATATGTATTAAAAAAAATTGTGCATTTCTCTTTATTTATATTAATATATGGTCGATATATTGTTGCATTATTAAGTAACACATGTTTCTCTGCAGAACTTCTGGAATTATAAATAACTTTATTATTTTTTTTTTATTTTGTTCGATTCTGACAGTCCTCAAAGCTTTAAACTTAAAAAAAAAAAGCTGTAGCACAAACCGCTGTTATTCTGCCAGTCCTCATAAATTTACATAAAAACATACGCCAATAAAAAAGCTTTATGGAAACAAATTATAAAGTTACCGGTACCAAAGTGTCACGACTTCTTCCGATAATGTATCAATCGGCAGCCCTTTAGCTCGTGCTAACCCAAAGTCTGCTATTTTGAGTTCTCCTTGAATAGAGAGTGCAATAGTAGTAATAACAATTATAACAATAGTAACCATTCATGTTAATCAATAGATTCTGAGGTTTTAGATCTCTATAAATAAGAAAAGTATAAAATTTATTAATGACAGTTTTTACTATAAATATTATAAAAAATATATTGGAAAATAAAAATATTTAAAAATAACCTGTGCATGATTTTTTTAGAGTGACAATAAGCAAGTCCCCGTATTAATTGATAAACAAAAAGTTGAATTATATTTATAGGCTTTATAGTTAAATTTACATTTTTTTTTTAATATTATTTAATGTAAAAATCAGGTATAAATATAAAATTCTTTTTAATAAAATGAATAGTAAATTATTTTTTAAAAAAATATGTAGGATTTACGAGTGGAGATCTAGAAATTTCCATAAATTGTTTCAAGTCCATGTCGAGATACTCAATTATGAGAGTGAAATGCGTTTTGGTATAGACAATGTCATGCAAGGAAACGATGTTGGCATGTTTTAAAACTTTCAAAATGGACGCTGTTTAAAAAAAAATTTAAAAGAAGTTTATAAGTTTAAATTAAATAGAATTTCAGTTTAATAAGTTTAACATTGTTTAAGTTAAAAAATTTTAAAAGAAAACGGTTTTTATTGGAAATGGTAAAGGCAAAGTCCTAACGAAGAGGTTTTAAGGAAGAAAGTTTTATAGTTTTTATGAATGTCGTATATTTCCTAGGAATATTTACCGAAAATTAAAAAGGTACAGTAATATCACTTTTTATTAATAATTTTTTTGATAACCCTGGAAACTATAGCATTATTTAACAGCGCTATCATAACTTAAAATACAAAAATTTTGTACACTGTTACAATCTCAACAATATACTCTGAAAAATTTAAAAGTGTAGTTAATAGATCTATCGTATAAGATTTTTATTTACTTGTTAAGCTTTTAAACAAAAATTACATTCACTAAAATTTTAAATATATTAGAATTAAACGCACTTTAATAAAAAAAAGTAATTTATTTTGCAGTAGAATGGGAACGTTTAATAATACCTTCACGTATGGCTGTACAAGGAATACCTTCCTCAAAGTCTTAATAAAATAATTTAGAATTTTACTAAAAAAAAAAAACTAAATGTGTATATTGCTGAAATTATGACGTTTTAAGATCAAGCGTAACCAATTTCTATTTCTTTCAGAGTGCAAAAGCATTCGTTTACTTTGCTGATTCCTTTATAAACTTTGGCATAACTCCCTTATTAATAATTTGGCATGATTTTTTTTTAAATATGTATACTATTGTACCCTTGCCAAGCCTCTGAAGTTTAATGTAGCTTCCTAGCTTGCCAAATTCATGACAGGCAGCAGAGAGTTCTACAGAACTTTTCATTACTGATGCAATTTCTAATTTATTTAAAAAGGACTACCTATGGAAAATTATAAATATTTCGCATCAGTATAATTTCTCTTCCATTGGTCAGTTGATTATTTATTATTGTTACTACTGAAAAATCAAAGACCATTTCGCCAACAGATTTTCACTTTGTCATGAAACAATTCGTAGAAAAGACCTGTTTTTAAAGATTAAAATAGTCGAAATAAGTACTAAGTTTGCGAAATTTTTTTTAGTTATAGTTATCTACGTAGAGATGAAGGTCGCTGGAAAGCCATATATGAACCAGCGTTAAAAATTATAGAATATGGTATATAAGAATTGTCAAAAGTTAATAAAAGCTTTATTTTTCTTTAAAACTATATTGTAAACTTGATTTTAAATCATTGCTTATACATTTTTTATCTCAAGCTCATTATAAATTTTAATCATAATGTTTAATGGCTTCCGGCTTTCTTTATAATATTTGGGTTATCCATAGGGCAAGATAAATTAAAAAGTTGTAAGGAAGAATTATTAATATACCCTTTACGCAAAAAGTAGGAGTTTGTTAAGTCCTTAGCGCCTCCGTTAAATTAAAAACTTCGCTGTATAACTGCTCCCCCCTGAGCCTTCGGGCTTACTTGGAGTGCTTTTTTAATATAAAATAGTGTTGCTGACACTGAAAAGTAACCCCGCTACAATATGTCGAGAGAATTTTATCTTCCATGAGAAAAAAAAAGATTAAAATCCCAATGCTCCTAGGAAGATGATAGACTCTCGAACCTCCAAACCCGCTTGGGAGCCTAGTTCAAAAGAATTTTATAAGCTAGAGGGCCCTAAATAATAACTTCTCCGATATTAGGGTAAGTGGGAGAGTCAAACCTGTGTACACTTCTAACGCATTAATCGCACCCAACTTGGAGCGCCACTCTTGGAGTTGCCTTTTCCTTTTCCTATTAATATTTACATTTTTATTATAAATTAAAATTATAATATGACGCTTTAAATATTCGTCATTGAAATTTATAGATCATTATTTGTACTTATTTTGTGGTCGTTCACACAAAACAAAATGTTATAAAAAAGCTTTTTTATCATTAAACGGAAGATTTAACCCCAATGAACTCATGGCATTAACGCACAAATCCCGTTTGGAACATTGCATAACTGGGACAGTAATCATTTGATATTATTACTGCGACTTCAGTGCTACGCCTTCGATATTAGTAAATCACTCGGTTTTCCTAGTTTTTTTAGTGGGCACATATTTATGGAGGTAAGTCTTTATCTAAAACAAAATCATTGTCTAAAAAAAGCAGAGGGTCTCTTGCTCTCTGTTCTGTGGTAGTTTGTTGTTTTAGTTCAGCTGTGGGTTCAGTCTATACCTAATTTATAGTAGTATAGCTAAAATAATTGTATAGACTCTGGTCTACAGGGCTAGAATGTAAAGGGAGGTAATCATCCTAGTGAATAATTGTTTAGAATCATGTTAGGGATATTGAGAATATTTGTGTCGAAGGAGGGGTATTAACTATCAACAGTTTCTTACTGCTCTGTATACGCGACGTGTTTTACAAATCGGTGATGTTTCACTTAAACGCGTGTTGCGCGCAGGCCGCTTTCAAGGCACTTCTGTTTGCTCCTCGCAGCACGCGTCCGTTGATATAGTTAACATATAGTCAATAAACTTTTTTTAAATTAAACTTTTTTATAATAGACCGGCAAGAATGTCTTCGCAACTGTAGTATTTGATAGCGATGTTTCCTTCTTAAGGGGTTGTTTTTAGAGTTTAATAAATATGTAACCGCTTTATTATCTACTTATTTCTTTATCAAAATATTTGGTTTTATGTTTATCCGAATTAATTCAGCAAACTTGGAATGATTCTCACCATACGATTCAAAAGATGATGACAATGTATTATGGTCTTGGATATCACAAGAAAAGACCCCATGTGGCAACTTTAACACTTCGAAATATCTCTAGGAAGTTGAAAGTTGATTAATGTAATTTATATATTAACTGACTAAATAAAAATGTCCTTATTTGAAAGGTTGATGGCATGTTAGTTCGCTCAAGTCATTCAAAAGCTATTAAAGCTTTTTGTTGTTTTATCCTGCTTGAAATAATGCATTGTGACTTTTAACAACAATCTTGTAGATTGAAGAAAAGCTTTTTGGTTCAAACTTAAAAAAAACTAGGTTTTTATTTTTTACTGTTTTTAAAATGTTAATCTTTGTGTTCAACAAAGATCAGAGGATCCGTTTTCATGAAGGGAAGAGTCTAATAACTTATATTAAAAGATAGGAAATTATATAATTGAGAATAATAATTTACAGTATTGAATAAATTAAATTAGAAAGGAATTAGTGGCTAATACTTAGAATTGATGTAAGGGACAGCATTAAAAAACTGTTAAGTGTGAGCATTGCGCTTCGCCCGCAGGTTACTAGAATAAATAGTAAAAATTAATCAAAATCGAAGACCTTAACACTAACCAACTTGGAGCTTAGAGCACAACGCACCATTCCTTTATATATAAAATTTCGAGTTTAGTGGATATACAAAAAATTGTTCAAACAGTATTAATTGCAAGATTAACAATTAGTTTAGGAAAGGACGCTGTCATTTCCTTTAGCGCAATAAAAGTAAGTAGAATTAATAAAAAACGCTCACATTAATTATAAACCTTGACCATATTTTGGTATGAATGCTTGACAATAGAGTAACATTTTTTTTTAGCTGCAGAAATATAAATAACGTGAATAATAAACCCATTCGTGGTATTGTAAGTTCCAATGTTTTTTGGGCTCGCCGCGGGCATTCTAATCTACATACTAGCTAATAACACTATTCTATAACAGTGGCTATACTATATATCAGCCTATAGTCTATAGTAACAAGTACTATTCAACTAAGCCTTAACTCAGTCAAATTTCTTAAGCTGAGTACTAGCTAATATATACTAGAGACATTATTCTTCAGCGGCGAGTCATACAAACTAAGGACTAAGCTACGAACCTAGCTTAAACTTTTCCATAACTTGCTACCGGCTACGGATAATAGCTAGTACCATTCGAGTACTCATTACATGCACTTCCTGAACAAAGGTCTTCGCACGCAGTTAGTAACGCTACAAGCAGGAGCATGTATGCAACTTAGTTATTAACCTAACCAGTATACAATAGATTAACTAGTTAAGTGTCATCAACTCGTTCATTACTTTTCACAGAGGATTGTCTCCTGACGACAACCGCTAGTATATCCCACGAGAGAACATGATGTATTTTCGTTCCATAGGTCATCAGTCAAGCTATAACATGCTAAACTCGTACCGTCGATGGTAGTACCTAACTTTTTAGATTAGGCTCGAGATAGTAGTAAGAGTCCCACTGATACAGGGAAGATAGCACCTGCAAGTGAACCTATTTGACACGCTGTTTTTACCATTTTTAAGTGCGTACCTTTCGGCACGTAGCAATAAGCTTCGTCTCTCCTCAGTATCGTGTATACCTCGACTAGCGTTAATAGAGCAGGGCAACCATAATCACAAAGATCGCTTGATAAGTATTCCCGTGAGGTTCGGGTACTATCGGCTTCGCTTTAACTCAAAGGACTCGTTCGCCGTAGAAGGTTACTAGACACCACAATATTATATCTAGTGCACACAGACACGATAACCCTTCTGAGGATGGCACCCCTTAGTCTTAATTCTCTGTTCCTCAGGTACCATGAGACACCAGGAATAACGAGACGTGCCAATCGTGCTAGAATAGGACCGAACTTTCTCGGCAGCTTTTACGATCTTTATTTAGATCACTAATTTTGTGATATTTTATTAAGTTAAAGTGTGTATGCTATTTGATGAAAACTTCTATATAAAGCTAACGATCCAAGGAATTCTAATACTCCTAATGTATCCACATACCTACATGACCTATCACGTTCGCCATAGCTATCTACTGATTGAATAGCATAAGACTTACCTGCTGAAATTACAGTCAAATAGCAGATCGCAACGAGTTTGAGATGAATTCCTGCACTCAATTGATCGTATTGTTCGAAAGCAAGTTAATCAGCTCGCTATTCTATATACGAGTCAATCGCCTCCTTAAATATACTAGGTAGGGGTACTTATTTGGAAAAGCTCGTTTTTACAAAAATGTAAAATTGATACGGTAGTTAGCTCGTGTTTCTTGCAAACTACACTAATAAAGATAAAGGAAGTTAAGTTAAGTTAGTTACTTCCTCAATAACAAGGCTCATAGGGATAGCTTTGATGCCAAAATAGATCTGTTAGAGGTAGTTACAAATATAAAGTTTAAGTGAGAACTTGTAAGATATAAAGTTAAAGAATTCGCTACCTCAATGTACCTTCACCAACCGAGTGTCGTGAATATGGTTACAATGTTCAAGATTTATAGATCAATAGTCAATGGTATCAAGTAACCACGAGATTACTGCAACTCACTTAAGGTTCATAAACAGGTAGCGTAGTCTCGATTTTGACTATGGTAAAAACCAAGATTACTTCCTAGTCTAAGGTTAGGGGGCTATTTCTAGTATAAGGTTACTAGTTTCTTCCTACTCGTTTAAATAGTTTATAAGCAGGTTCTTTCGCCTTGGTTTCTCAGCCCTAACACAGGGAACTAAAAGGCAATGGTTATAAATATTGCTTACCAAGGCTTGTTTCAAACTTAGAGCATCGGTGTACTCGCTTCTAACGAAATATAAAGCTTTCCTTAGAGACCTTAGCTACAAAGTCATTCGCTTGATTTACCAGTCACTGTGTTGAATACTCTCCTCGCAGAGCATTGTCAAGATGTGAGTTATGCTGCATAAAGATGAAGCACTATAGGACCAAGACGAAGTTGGTTCAACTTTGATCGAACCAAATAACTACCATTCTATAAACGATAGCTAAAGGTTATAACAAAGGAGAACGAAAAAAAAAGGTAAACTAATGATTTTCTCTTTTCCAGTTCTAGCGATCCCTGGAAAGGCTTTAGCCTCTGGGACGACGATTGCGTAGCAATTCACGTCGCCTGGTAGTACGTTTCACCAGGTCGGCTAGCGAAACAAGAGGAAATCATTCGTTTACCAATGTTTTTTAAACCAGAGACTGCTGGCGAGTCTTTATAAGTTCTGTAAATTGTCGACAATCCCTAGTTATGTTTTTGAAAAACTGGAAATTAGGTAATAAGTACGAGTACAAAATTTTAAAAAAAGTTTAAAATTTTGTTTTAGCTTGAATTTTTATAAAAAATCATAATTTTATTTTAGAAAAAAGTTTACTAGTTTCGCACAATGCTGCATTATAGCTTTTTTCAAGAGTAAAACATTCTAAAACTTTAAATTGTTAAGTTAAAAAAATTAATAGGATCAAACTTTAAGTAAGCAGTTATACACATATAACTTAAGGAAATGCAAAGTTATACATAGCCACTGTATTTTAAGTGTAAAATATAATATTAAAATGATTAATTTATAGTATGATAATTACGTAATAATTTTTAAAAATATAGCTATTTTTGATTGGTAAGTTTTATTGATAAAACATTATCTTTATTAATTTTTGTTTTTAATGACAATTTATTTGTTAAACTTTTAATTTATTAAGAGTAAAATTTTATTTAAAATAGTTTTAAGATGTATAAAAACATAAACCGGTAATATTTAAGCTATTTCGTCAAAAAACTTCAAACCAAATTCAAGTGATAAGTTACTTTTATAATGGAACCTAAATAAAATTTACAATTAAAGTTCTTTTTTATTTTCACTAGAGAAATGGGTTACCTTATAATAACATTGTTATTAACTACAGTTTTCGGAAGGTATTCACTAGACGGCAATAGATGTAAAAATCTGACTAGTGCTTTTTTTTTGTAAGTGTATACGTTTAGTTATGATTCTACACTATTGTCGTAGCCCTCTTGAAAAAAGTATTTAATAAATATATATTTTTTAACTAAAAATTAGTATGTTAAAATTTGTTTTTACATAGCTTTTTAATGGAGAAAGGTGGGGTTAGTTGCCCTTTTTAATATTTATGTTGAACAATGCTGGTGTGTTATAGTAAAATCACTAGTGATAACTTATTACTGAGTAAAATTTCAAAACGTTTCAGTATTTTATTTTAAATTTAATATTAAAGTTTAAAAGTTTATATATCTATCTATTTTTAACCACTTTAGTCTTGTTACAGAAGTCTTACTCTTATAATAAATAGAGATTTATCCAAATGCTTTTTAAAGCGAACTCCTCAGTTTAATAGTTTCTCTTTTGAAATAAAAATTTTGTAAGTTTTTTTGCTTAAGGCAACCTTTACTCTGTGTAGGATATCATACTTTATAAATGAGTTTTGTGGAATATTTTTTATAAACATTTAAAATGAAGATGCACATTGCTACTTAAATTTAATTACCTTTATTTAAAGAAATCTCAGCCATAACCATATTAAATTTCTAAAGGCAGATTCCTTTTCTCAGTTTACTAACTTGATAATATTGTTAGTTTTTTTTTTTTTCTTGTTTTCTTATTTGTAGTTTTTATAGTATTTTTTTCACAATCAAATTAGACGACTCAATAATAATTTCATAACTTCTGTTAATAGCAAATCTTTTGGGGGCCTTGTTTCGTTAAAAGCATTGTGAGTAATTGTTATATAGTAAAGCTAACATAAAATTATGTATAGCAACTACGCAGATCTCTTCAAAATAATAAAATCGAATCACTAGCTACAAATATTTTTTCAGAACTTTCGAAAATTAAAATTATGTGAGCTACTGTAATAATACTTTTCGAGTAAATTTTTATATTATAATTTGAAGACGTTTATATGGAAATTTACTTTATTTCATTAATAAATATATGTTTCGAGGCCTCACTAAGCTAAAGCGCTTGTAAGTTTTGTTAGTAATGTTTTAAAAAATATTTTAATCTCAGTGTTGATTATTATTGTTGGCCTTTTTTTTATTTTTTTTTTAAATAAGTAAAACGTTACTTACTTTTACTTCTTGAGCGTAGAAATCTTAGACAGAACAGCATCGTTTCGATTTCCCCTGGAAGTTTTTATGATCTTAAATCCTTAACTTTCTTGTATAATAACTTTATATAAGGATTATATTAAATTTTTCTTAAAAGCTTCAAAGTTGATTTACATTTTTACACGATCCAAGAAATTTATGTTTTAACGCTCTTTCAAAAATACAACCAAATTTATTTACAGGCCTTGTCTCTTTGAAAAAATTGTAAATTATTTAATGTTTGAGTAGCAGCGCTAAATTTAAATCTAAAGTTTTTCTTTTAAATTTTTTAGATCACTTCGAAATAATAAGCTTCACACTATTACTAAGGATTTATTTTCTGAGCTGACAAGCTTATTAATACTGTAATTAAATAATTCATAGCAAAAACGGTTAAAAAGTTTATGAATATTTTCAAAGTTTTACTATGAAGAAAATATAAATTTATATAAAATTAAGCAATGAACTTAAAATAAAAAAAATTATAAAAATTAATAAAACTAATATATAAATAAAAAAAACCAATAAGATAGCAATAATATTTTTATAAAAATTAATAAATATGTATATTATAACAATTATTGCAGAAAAAAGAAATTATATAAAGTAATATTGAAGGAAAACATATATATAAAAAATAGATAACAAAATTTAAAAATACTATGAATTATAATATAATATATAATAATTAGGAAAGATTATATTAATGACTATCTTAATTACCACTTAATTAATTAATAAAAAAAAGTTAAAAGACAAATAAAACAATAAAAAATAAAACAATAATAAATAAAATTAGTAAGTGATTTATAAAAGTAAATGAGATATTAAATTTGTACTGATACAGTTAAAGGCTAACTAATGAGAAGACTCATTATTATTTTTTTTCGGAAGACTTTTGATAGCAAAGGCAATTATTTTAATTTTTATTTCACGTTACCATTTTAGAGATTTAGGAGGCAATAAAATTACCTCAATTGAGCCGGGCGCTTTTAATAAATTAGGATTGCTGGAGAGCTTGTATTTAAATTTATTCGAAATTTATATTTTAGCGATCCACAATTTTTTAAATTGAATTTATGCAAATTCAGAGATTTGAGTGTTAATAGACTCAATACTATTAATAATAACTTATTCATTGGTCTGGATTTATTGCAAGAGTTGTAAGTGAGAAATGTGTGAAGTTAGTTTTATAAATATTTAAATTATTATTAATTGTAGAATTTTGTTTAATAATTGGATCAACTTTATTCCGACTGGAACGTTCACGAGATTCAAAGCGTTGACTTATTTGTAAGTCGAGTATTTGAATATCAAATAATTTCATTTTTAAATTTATAAATAAAAAGAGATTTAACATTGAGCCCCGTCACTGAAATCGAACCTCGAGCTTTTAGTGATTCCTTTGATTATAAAAATTTGTAAGTATAATTAGCTCTCATATTGGAAGAAGATATTTAAATTTATAATAAAAACAGGAGAATCTTACTTTTTCCGCCGTTTCTCTGTTGCTCGCGTGATCATTATCAAGATAGTTTTACCTATTATGATTCAACGTGTTCTCATGAAGGAGAATACGAGTTTTTTCTGAGCTTTCCAATGTCAAAGTGTACTACAACACCTTCGGTTTTTCAAATAAAACAGAAATGAAAGGCTAGGCGTTACTTTTAATATTACATTTAACAGAATAAACAAAGTCTATATTGAATAAAGTTTCAATAGAAATATTTGCTTTGTCCATTTACTTAGCTTATAAAACTTGAAGAAAAAATTAAATATTGAAAATTAATGGTTAGCTGTAGCTTTTAAAGTTAGCAAAATCAATATTATATTCACTAACTTTAAAAGTTCTTCTATTTGTTTACCGATTTTACTGGGATATAATACTCCGACTTTATTATTATAGGACAAATAATTATAAAAAAACTTTAAAATTCCATTTATTTAAGTTCTGAATAAGTTACAACGATGGCTGCTTAATTAATCTTTTAGCGACAATATATTTTAATAAATAGAAACTTTAGGCAGTTCTCAAACAAAGCGCGTGTACCTTAAATTTCCTCAAAATTTATGTGGTGATAGAATTCTTATTATAAAGTACATAAGTTAAGGTTACCTAGAAAAAAGATTTTTGCATTAGAGTGACTAAGTGCTAATTATAGTACAATGTTATAATTTTCTTTAATAAAAATAGCACCGCCCAAATAGGGCTTGCTTGAGTTAAAAGTCACTTTAAGAGAGAAAAGCTATTCACAACCGAAGCAAACATCTATTTTCTAATTACATTATGCAAATAAAGTTATTTATTGTAAGTTCCACCCATATTTTAATAAAGTAATCATATTTAACGATAAGCTTGAGATATAAAAACATTAACGGGTTCTTAAATTTCAGGATCGAGCCTGGCCGTCAGAGGCCATGAGAATTTGAATAATTGATATAACATTAGAAGTCTCCGTTTCTTTGCTATATAGTGGTCCTTGTATAATAGCTTAAGCACCGTAAATGTTGCAAGGGATTCTTAGTACGGCCTCGCTCTTACGCAAAAGGAATAAGGGGTAACTGAAGTGAAGTTTAAAATAAGCTTTTGAAGACCTCCGCGGAGTAATATTAGCAGTGGGCAGCACACACTTTGCTCGACCTTTATAGTGTGCATATTCCTAATTTTATAAATATTTTTTATAGCGGGCGCATTGTAAAATTAATTTTATTTTTGTTAGTAAGCGTTGCTTCAATATTATTATATACTTATACCGCTCAAATTTTTTTAAGAAAACTGCAGTATGAATAAAGTCGTAAAGTTTGCTTTTTGCGGATTAGCTGTGGTCACCATTACTTACGGTCTTTCTTCTTTTATGGACTCTATTAGAACCCAAGAAAACCAGGAAGCTGTAAATTATTTATTTAGAGAAAACAATTTTAGTCAGTGAATATTAATAACCTCCGCTTTGGAGGTTTTTTGAATTTCTTCGTTAGTCTTGCTTTAAATTGAATATTTTGTTATCTATATAATTTTTTGTTTATATAAATGCTTTACAAATAATATAATTAATAATAGTTCCTAACAAAACTAATTCTACTTTTATAAACTAAATTTATATAGGTTATTTCCAAATTGCCACCAGCCGATAAAAGGAAGTATGGAAATAAGAGTTTGTATGGTAAAAAAAATTATTAGTGAATTTTAAAAAATGTTAAATACTATTTCGCTAGGGAGCGAGAGCCAGCTTGGCCTCCTTATCGCAAAAAATATATCTTCGAAAAGGCCTTGTTATGAAGTAGTTGGTTTAGAGGAAAAGTAGTTTTACTATTTGCGAAATAGAAGCCAAAAATCCTCATTACGATATTTCTTTATTGTTTTCAAACATAAAATTTCCAATGCTGTGTTGGTCATTTCGCTTTTTTTTTTTTGTTCCCTTCATGGTATTTTTTGCAAGTATTATGAGCGTCTTATCATTTTAGTATTTCCTATGCAATGGAAGCAGTAAAAATACTAAAGTTAAAAATATATATTGGGCAAGGATTTATAAATGCCGGTGAAACGCTTAAGAAAACATTTATTTCCTTATTTGTTAATAAGAAAAAATAATCCTTAAAATCTTTTAAAAATTAGTAGTTGTATAAATAAAAGGAAAATAAAAACAAATACACATGGATTTGTTAAAGATAGAGACAGAAATATTCGAATAAGAAAGTAACAAGAAAGAAAAACCGATTTATTTATTTTTTAATTATTGCACTGCCTTGCCGCAGTCGATATAAGTTAACTTAAACTGTTCAATCTAAAATGCCTCAAGTGAAAGAGTTTGAGAGGCTCCTCCTACATAGACAAAGCATGACTGCCAAATTTGATAATAGTTTTACAATTAAATTTTTTTTAAAAGTAATCTATAAGATATACTGATGAAACTACGTCTCTATATACTATTAAAGCAATTGTTATTAATATAATTGCTATAAATTACTATTTTGCTTTTATTATTTGACTATGAATATGCTATTTACAATTTTATAATAAATACTAATTAATATAAACACTAAGTTGGTTTATCATAATTACAGGAATTATTGTTATATTAATTTGTATAAATCTTGCAATTTATAAAATTTTCTGACATAGTGATAAGGTGTTTTCGGTCGTCTATATTTTAGAAAGTGAGATTAATTTCCATGTCGTTCACCAAACTTCAATTTGCATATAGCTGGAGGAGGCGGGAGGTTTCCAACTCCTGAAATTAAAGGTGTTACCGTCATACAATGCCAAGAATTGAATGATGGTGGATAGCATGCCAGACACGTATAAAGAATATAAAATAGATGACATTGAAGAATATATGAACCCTTGGGGAATCCCACTGGAAATTCTGTTTCAACACTAACCATATGGACCTTCTTAATAAACATGTTTTACACATTATTAAGAGCTTACAAAATGTCTAAATCTTGGGTGGCCAACCCGCGGCACGCGAAAAGATTTTAAATGGCACGGGCCCCCTGCAGTGACATACACGTACGTACCCACCAGTGGATCGAGTGCGTGGCTATTGCGTTGTTGCTGAACTGTATCTTGCATTTTGGGGTTAAAAAAAATAACCTGACTTTTCTTTTTAACATTAACAGATACCTTGTAGTAGTACACTTGTAGTTCCATATTGAGTCTAAATAAACCGTTTATTTCAACTGGGAAAAGAAAGAATGAAGAGGATATTGCTCTTCGCGAATGTCACATTTCGAATGAGAGCATCAGTTTTTATTTGTGGAAGGCATTGGTTCTAAGCCAGTATGTCTCATTTGTTATGCTTTTGTAGTTGTGCCAAAAAAATTTAACTTAGAGAGGTATTTTAATAAGATGCATCCTGATTTTCAATACAAAGTATCCCACAGCTGTAGAGAGCAAAAAGATATCTCTGTCTAAACAACTAACGTTCTTTAAGAAGGCTCGTACCCAGCAAGAAACTATGGTCAAAGTGTCTTATGAAATTTCACTTCTTGCTATGAAAAAAAATTTTTATTCGACAACTGAAGAAATAGTAAGACCTTGTCTAAAATTTTTCCAAAACGGTAGCAGACCTACAAATTCTAAGAATGGTAGATTATTGAGATAAATTGTTGAAATGGTAGTTGATGCTGGTAAACAAACACTTCAACGTATGACCGCGTGCTCCTACTCTTTTCTCTTGCTTTGGACGAGAGCTCCAATGCAACTGATACTGCTCAATTGTGCATTTATATTAGGTAGGTTGTGTCAGTGAACATTTCATATTACAGAAGAAATTATACACAGGCGGCAGTGAATTTCTAGTAAACAAGATGTTTTCTGTGAATTTAAGATTGTAATTGATAATCGATTAAACTGGGACAAATTGGATAGTGTTTGTACAGAAGGAGTCATTAATGACCGGGGGGGGGGGTCAATGGTTTTGTAAGTTTGTTGGAAAGATTTTTAAAAAGCTAAATTTTTGGATAACACGGCATTATTCACAATATTCACCAAGAGCACTCTGCTAAGAATAGAACTTTTGTTCTTCTTACTCCTGTTATACGATGTATCAACTGCGTTCAAGCCAGAGGCCTTTATTTAATGGAATTTCACCATTTTTTTAACAATTTCATTTGAAGGGATGAACAGCGTGAATTACTACTACATTACTTAATTCGTTGGCCATTTTCCAGATGTGCTCACTTCTCAAGAAAATAAATAGGTTAGGGGTTTTAACTTTGGTGACAAATATTATGGGCCATTCTAAATACTTTTGAGATTTTGCAAGGTAAAACTACTTTTTTTTTTAACTTTTTAGATTTGGTTTAATCTTTTAAATCTACACTGACGCTTTTGGAAGAAGGTAAACTACTTCATTTTACTCGGCTGCAAGAACTAAGGGCAGAAACCAAAATTCAAGACTTCACGAAGTTAAAAAAATAGGTTTACTCATGAAACAATGGTTAAAAGAAAGGTTAACCGATTTTTTTAAGAGGATGACGAGTGAGTACAGTTTTTCACAAATCCTTTTTCCATTTAATTTACCGAGATTGTTATTTACCTAGCTCACCTCCAAGTGGAAGTTTTGGAGTTACAAAGTAAGTGGCAAATTTAAGGAGTACCCTTCCGGTAAAAAGTTTGCTCGTTTCGGAAATTTTTAAATTTAATTAAATTTGCGCTCTGCTACTCTTATATTTGTCAGCAAACATTTTTCATCTAAACTTTATTAAAATAAATATTGCATAGTATTAACCTACGAGCATTTGAAAAGAATTATTTTTCTTGGGTCCTCACAAATAGAACCTAACATTGAGAAACCGACACAGATGAATCAAATTTAAAGGTCTCGTTAATGTTTGTTTAAGTTTCTAAACTTTGGTAAAAAATTGCTGTTTTCTTTAACTTAATAAAGTATGTTTACATTTCATGCACAATTTCCAATAATCACAGAGTGATCTCTGTTTAATATTGTGGTTTTTTGGTAGTTTATTGTAGAAATCTAGTTTAAGGTTAACTTTAGAAAGAATATTTGGCACAGTTTTTGTTTCATATATTTTATAATAAACTGTTTTATTAATAAATTCTTACCTAAGGAAATTTAAAAATTAATTTTTTTTCTGTTATTCGATTCACATGGAATAGTAGGGTAGTTGTACATATGCATTATGTTTCAAAAGAACAAAAGAAATAAACAATTGGCACTCGAGAACAATAAAGTAGGCCACTGTTGTTTTCAGTATTAACACTAACTGTGATCAGAATAATAAGAGAGAGCAGTTATACTTTCTAATAACAAAAAATAGAGGAAAAGGTTTAAGAATAAAATACTCAACGAGTTTATTGCTGCTGGAACACTACGAAAAAAATATAGTAGGTTAAAAACGAGGTCTGATTGTTTATTTATTTACTAATGACCGTTCCTGGTGCTCGATCGAGTTAAAAACTTCGAATACCCGAGCTATAAACCAGGAGTGATCGCAGATATATTACATATAGCATTCAGGGTGTCATTATTTTTTACATCAACAAAAAAAAAATAGCGCTTAAGCGCGTCACGTTCCATGAATCGTAAATAAGTTCTCTCACCAGAAGGCGGTTAGTGTGACTGGAGTGTTTTTCATAAAAGACCACGGCATGACATTGAAAAACCCCCTCTGAAGGACCCAGAGACATGGATCGTTTCGCACAAACCACGGCGCCTTTGTCAGGGCTCGCAACAATTTGTTCAGTCGCACTTGAAGTGCAGGGGCAAACGCAGTGGAGTCGTAGGTCCAAGCTGCAGAGGCATATGTCATTATTGGCTGGATTTATAAAGACAAATTACGAGTGCCTTTTGTTTCGCAGGAAGGTTACCCCCGCCCCTAAGTAAAGGATAAAAAAGGGACTTGGTTGCTGCCTTGATCTTTGTCAATACATAGCCCACGTGAGACCGTCAGGAAAATTTACTGTCGATGAGGACTGAAGTATTTCGCTTAAGAACACCTTGGAATCTTCCATTAAGGTTAAGGCAAAGAGACACGTTTCTTTCTAATTAATATAGCTTTGCTCTTCATCCCATTTATAGTAAACTTACGAACACGTCACCAGATAGCAAGACGTCAAGTTAGCGCTCTAGATACATGCATAGCAAGGCGGGAGATTCGAAGAGGGATATATCGTCGTATCATCACCGTAGAAGGGGATTCGTGTGTGGGGGTCGGGTGGCAATCCACGTCGAAGGGCGAAAGAAGTGAGTCCTAGGGATCCCCTACTGTCAGAGATCGATGCGGCGACTATATATCACCCACGTGCACTTTGAAGACGCGACTGTTCGGATATAATTTTAGCACGTTATAAAGACCATGAGGGACGGATGAAGTTTGTGCAAGAGAACTTCATGCCAAACTTGATCAGATGCCTCTTCAACGTCAAGGAAAACAGCGCTTGTTGCCTTCTTATGGTTAAAAGCGCGAGTGGTCCCATCAGTTAAGCGGAGGAGCTGCTGGGTCGTTGAATGCCCTTGTCGGCATCCAAACTGAAACTCCGGTAAAGCTTTCCGAGTGTCAACGACTTCTTTAAGACGGCGCAGTAAAACGGCCTCACCCACACCCACATTGCCGGTCGCTGACAGTAGGTTGAAGGGTCGGTATCTGCAAGATGCTGATTCCAGTTTAAATGTTTTTGGTAGCCTCACAATGATCGCTGCCTTCTATGGGATCGGAAAGGCGCCAAGGGGCGTTGAAGATTTTGTAGGGAGGTAAAGATGGTGCATTCCTAGTTATGGCATTTTTTTCATTACCTCATTAGTAATGCCGTCTCTCAGAAGCTTTACTTTTAGGTAGCGCTTCGACAATTGCTTTGTACTTCATCAACATTAACTAGATTAAATGGTTGTAGTTAACGGGAAAGGTAAGCTCGGCTTAGGGAACGCAGCATCATTAGCAGTATAGTGAGCAGCTGACGCGTTTTAGTTAGCAAGAATATTGGCGAAAAGAGTAGCTTTATCTTCACTCTCGGCCCTATAATCCCTTCACGAAGGGGTGGTAGTGGTGCCAGCTACCCTTTTTTTTTTTTTTTTTTTTTGATCCTTTTAACAAAATTCCAAAAGGAGGAGCGGTTTCTGCTGCCTGATTCTGATATAAGAAACAGTTTGCCCTCCCATTTATTGTTAAGATGGACAACCATTAGTTCTTTCCTAATGCATCTGTGAAGTCGATTAAGCGCAACTTCTCCTTCGGCGCTCTGCGACACCATGGCCACCCGACTAAGACGTCGACGTTGGCAGAAAAGCGCCTTTAGTTTGTCAAAAAGCGGTCTTAATATTTATCCGGACTGGCCACTTCTGCGGGAAAGCTTTAAACGTTATAAAAACGTTGTTTAATTTCTGCAGGTTTAATACCCCCTTTAGCAAAAAGGGGCGGTAACGTTAGTTTACGAGTCGTGGTAAAAGTGTGAGACATGTTCAGTGCGGTTAAAAAAAGACAGCAGCTTCATCCAGCAGAATGGGCGTAGATGGTAATGACGGGCATGGCGGCAGCGTGGTTGCCCCAGTCGGTAAAAAGAACGGATAATGGTCTTCGGCGTGTCCATTTCATCCCCTAAATCGAGAATACCTGTTAGACGACCGGAGAACAGCTTCTGGAGCGCTTCAATTGCCGTAGAGAGACGTATATCTTTAATATCCAGTATGTTCATTGTGTTTGTTGCCGCCAATTGTGTGGAGTTCTGAAGACCTAGTATGCCCAGCCCGTGCACATCAGTATAGGTCTCAAGGAGGTGCCATTCGATTTATCGGCTCGGGCTGTTCCATGTAGCGTGTTTGTAATTAAGATCCTCACACAAAACAGCAGAAGAGGCACTCCCAAGGATGACGTCTAAATCGGAAGGCGGGAATTGCTTCCAAGGGGATTCGTAGAGAGCGATTAAAAACACGGATCTCTGTTCGGCCATACATAGATAGGGGTTTCCCAATGCCTCGACACTATATCGAGTTGGCATAGATATGGAATCGAATACTCCGTTTCCTCAAGACAGTCACGCCCCCGCCGAGTGTCAAGTCTGTTTGGTAACATGTAAGAGAGTTGCACAAATCAAATAAGCCTTTAGGGAGGAGGTACATCTTGTTGATAACGAATACAATAATTCTTTCTCTTTGTAGCAGCCCCTGAAGCTCGTGCTTCTCACTCTGCACAATTTGCATTTCAGAATAGGAGCCGAATGTGGGGGCGCGTCTTTGAGTTGAAAACCGCTGCAAAAAGATTTCAGTCCTTTCACAGTTTCAAGCATGCTGGATAAATTCGTCGTTAAAATTGCTAACATCTGCCGTATTGCCGGCTGTTTCAGCTTTCGCAGTAGAAGTGGGGCTATAGAACCTTCGGATGAGGTTTCGCCCTCAAACGAGAAGCGTAAGAGAGCCCCGGGGTTACAATATTATTTGTAATTGGCGCCGACGAAGCAAACTTTGTGGGTTGGCTGGGGCTCGCGCGGATAATATTCTTGCAGCCTAGATAATTAGCGGTATGTCCCTCGTCGAAACTCTCACATCTAGCAGGCGAGTCTCATTTGGTACACTCTCGTCCAAATGATCCTCACTGCATTTAACTCATTGAGGTGCCCCAGCGCAAAAGCTTGCAGCGTGCCGAGAGGTTTGGCAGCAGTGACACTGAATGAATAATGCGACTGACTTTTCGAAGTTTTTCTCTCTTGATCTGAAGATGGGAATAGTCTTCATCTCTAAAAGCTTTTGCCACTTCATTCTGGGTATGTGCACCAGCACTAATGGTAACGGTCGCCATTGCCAGTGTCAGCCGTGTGCATCCGTTCCGATTGGAGGGGTGTGATGCCGTGCGCGCGCAGATCCCTACAGTGGAGATATCGAGTACGCAATAAATCTTACGAATAATAATTTTGTGTGGTTTGTTTTCTAACGATAGGAAAAATGTTGAAAGGCATGCTTACGCATTATCGCTGTGGCCGCACCGGTATTCTTGGGTTGCCGTGGGAAATATATTTCAATTTCGAGACCCGCATCTCTTGACCTCGGGCGAATGGCGCCGTTGTATAGCAAAAGTTGTACAAGAAGGGGTTACTTCTGTCTTTCATAAAGAGTAATAGGGAGGAATTTCTCTTTACGTGTTCGCAGGGGTGGAAGGGTTCTATAGTATATGGTCAATCATTAGATAGAGGAACAGTATTTGAAACGCTGCCATCTCTATTTAGCGGTGTCGTGCAAAGCTCTTGAGAACTTTTCTGGGTTTATGATTTTCGGGTTGCCGTTACCCTTAACGGAGAGACACTTACTACTATCATTACTATTAATAATATTTCTATTTTTATTACTGTATTATTTTTTCTGTTACAGTTATTGCTAACAGTTATGGTGTTATTAATGACACTATTAAGGAAATTATTAGTCCTAAGATTACTGCTACTATTATTCTAATATTAGCTATTTCACCGTGACTAGAATCGCCTTTTGTAACCTTTAGAGCCTCGCTATCTTCCAATATCACTTCGGTAGCATCTAGTTAATCTAAATTTTGTAAGGCCAAAAATACATTATTATTGTGAATTGTATCAAAAGGCTTCTTGCACCTTTTAAACTTATTTTACCTTGAGAGTTTTTAGTGACTTTCAAGAAGTTTTGCTTTTATAGAATCTAACTCTTTCCTGAGTCCTTCATTAATAGCTAACAAGTTAGCAATGAAGACTTGAAGCCCTTCTTTAGATGACAGGCTCATAAGTAATATAAAGATAAATATATATTTTTAAAAAAATATAAGTTAAAGGGAAGGAAAAAATAATAATAATTAAAAAAATAAAAATAATAAATATATAATATATAT